TTTTCCTTACAGTCTTGTCTTCAAAATGAGATCATCCCCAGAGTTCTCAGTGGCTTGGTTCAGCCGGCACAGCTCGTTGAAAAAAGTAGCGCATCATTCCAGTTGCAGCTTTACGCACGTACGTCTTTTTTGTTTACGTCAAATCTCTTCAGTCATTGGTTCACCCAGAAAGTGATTGACATATTGTTTTAGCCAATTATCAGAGCTTTTCAACGATGGGTGGGACGTCCCAACAAGGTGTGAAATGGGCTCTTTATTTACATGCGTAAAACGAAAACAACAGCCATTTGCTTTGTGAAGACGCACGGACTAGCATTGAGCACGTATCTTTGGAGAGATTTTTTGGCTTGTTTTACGCTTTTATCTTTACAAAACATGCCTAAAGCTAAGAAGAAAACTCACTACACTGTAAGTGAGGCTCTGGCACTAATGATTGATTCTTCTGAGTCTGAGGACAGCGAGTATGACTCGGAGGCAGAACAAATGTTTCTGGATGGAAGAGATGATCTATTAGACCGGTGAGTACAATACATTTTTGTTTGAATTAAATATATCTGGTCTTATTATATAGCAATTATGGTAATTATTCCATTTTAGTATGTTATAATTACGTTGAGTATAATAATTATTATTATTATTGTTGTTGTTCATTTATTGGTGAGTAAACTACCACAGAGTTGATGTTCTTACGACAAAAGACTATGTATTTGATATAATAGTAATGATGACCATTATAATTTAGTTGCTGTATTATTATACTGGTAAATGCTCTGTAAACTATGCATTTATCTAAGCATGAATGCTGTTGTTCTGGCACTAACAGAATGGGCTATGTATTTTTATAGTAGTACAGTACAGTCATTATGTTATAGTGTAACTTTATGTCATAGTAATGATTGTATTATTATACTGGTAAATGTCTGAAGCCTACAGATTTACTAAGAGTGTGTTGTTTTCTTTTCTAGGACATGGGAAGAAGTTTCCAGTGAAGCTGACAGTGATTCTGAACCAGACGTGAAGCGCAGATCTGTGCCAACCCCCACTGCTGAGGAGAGCCGGATTGTTCCACCACCGCGCCCTGTTTCATCATTGACGGTAAGAGTGCAATCAAAAAGGGGGAGGGGAAGAGCAAGAGCAACAGTGACTTCTCCTTCACCTACTCCACATGGGAAAAGATGGAATACATCTGACGAAGTGGACACTGTGCCTGTGTCACTGCCCTTCCAACCCGCCAGACAGCGAGGACCACAGCGCAGAAGCAGACGTGCTGCTACGCCGCTGGATTTTTTTAGACTGTTTTTCTCTGACTTGGTTATGTCCACTCTGTTGGCAAATATGAATGACTATGGGGCCCAACAAAGACAAAACTGGACTGCCGTGACTCTTCCTGACCTCTATTCGTTTTTGGCCATAGTCAGATATATGGGATTGGTGAAGCTTCCAGAACTGGTGGACTACTGGCCGACAGCACCGTTTTTTTTTAACTTAAGTTTTCCAGCTTCTGTAATTTCAAGAAACAAGTTTCACCTCATGTGCAGGTTATTACACCTCTGCCCTTTGGAGGAAGACATAAAAAAATCAAGCAGCGAAGGGCACGCCAGCCTATGACCGCCTGGGTAAAATAAAGCCCCTGTACCACCAGATTGTTGAGGCCTGCAAAGAGCATTTCCACCCAGGCCAAAACATATCGATTGATGAGCGGATGGTTGCATCAAAGGCAAGGTCTGGACTCAAACAGTACATTAAAAATAAACCGACCAAGTGGGGCTACAAACTTTTTGTGCTTGTAGACTCCGCAACAGGATACACCTGGAATTTTTTTGTTTATGAGGGCAAGGCCTCCAACAGTGGCAAAGGACTTAGCTACGACTCTGTCATGTCTCTCATGGACTTGGAAAAACTGGGAACAGGATATCACCTTTTTGTGGATAACTTTTACACTAGCCCTCATCTATTCAAGGACTTGGCAGCCCAAAAGATTGGAGCTCGTGGCACCATACGAATGAACAGAGTGGGATTTCCTAAAACGACGACAAATGACTTTGGCAAGAATGACCCTCGGGGGAGTGTGAGATGGATCAGAGACAATGAACTCCTCTTCATGAAGTGGAAGGACACACGAGAAGTCATCATGTGTTCTACCATCCACACTGTCATGAGTGGAGACACTGTCTCCAGAAGGATCAAAGACCAGGGGGTGTGGAAGGTTGTAAATGTTCAGATTCCTGCTGCTGTGAAGGAGTACAATCAAACCTCTCAGATGCACTTATTGGGCACTACTCTGTACTCCATAAGACGAAGAAGTGGTACCGCACCTTTTTTTACCACTTCTTGGACATTGCGATCGTAAATGCTTTTATCATGTACAGCTCACAACGACAGGACACTAAACTCTCACAGCGGGATTTCAGAGAGGCCCTAATAGAGGAGCTGTCAAACAGCGGAAGTTCTTCCACGTCTACAAACCGTCCACCAACTCCTTTCCCTGCAACAACCACTCACAAACCCATTTATTTCACTGAGGGCCAAATTATTGCAAAAGAGCAGGCAGCCACTGCTGGCAGAAAACTCTGCAAACTCTGCCACAAAAAGAGCCCGGTTTGCTGTGAGTCCTGTAATGTGCCTCTCTGTTTTGTACCCACAAGAAACTGTTACCGCAAGTGGCACGACCAGATGGAACTGTAAAGTCACCTTCCTGTCCCATTGTAAATAGTTCTACTTTTATACTGTTTTGTACTTTTCTATTTTGTTGCAACTTGCTGTACTTTTTTGCACTGATTTTATTTTATTGTTATTATATTACTGGTGATTTTTTATAAATAGTTGTACCTTTGTCCTTTGTGTGATTTTGCACTTTTGACTGATAATTTTAGATTACTTTTTTATTCTGTGAAACAAATAAAAGTGCTTGTAATTTAACTGGACCTGTTGCATAGTTTATTTCTTATGCCTAAATAGCATGACGTTTTATGGAAATGCATGTTTATAAAGCTAAAATATGAATATCTGAAAAATAGAAAAATTATTATCTAGGAAGGGATTTGTAGTCACCAAGATATCAAAATGTGTTTTTTAGGGTCAAAGGAGAGCTAAAATGCATGTAACACAGTTTGGCACATTTGGCACACATTTGGCACACTTGTGCCGAATTGTCATTTTGTTTACAAAAAGGCTCACAGCATCAAAACCCTTAGTCCTAGAGATCTGAAATTCTACACAGTTGTTGCCAACAAGTTGAGCAGTGAGTGTAGTATTTTTTTTTTTTTTTTTTTTTTTTTCGAGGCAAAAAATTATAATTTTTAGACATTTTTAAATGACTGTACTGTAGGTTAGCCAGCACTCACGGTCTTCATATGCATATCTACAGAAATTAGAAGGTCTAAGCTTTAAAATGATGTATGACACAAACATGTGGGTTCTAAGAATTTCTTTTTAATAAGCTATGACATTTGGGTATGTCTTACCATTGTGCACACACCAAAATGAGGCGGGTGGTAACAGGTTAATTACACGTAAAATACATTTTAATATAATTCAGACTAACACAGAGAAAAAGCACCGACCAAATGAACAGATCAGCTCAAGATGACAGAACAGAACAGAACAGGACTCACTGTTTTATTTGCACCATTTTGTTCATTTCAGTCCATGTGAGTCACACAACTGCAGATTTAATATAAATGAGCCACATCTGTTTAACCAGAGCAAAAAGCACACGAAACATCATCTTTATAATGTCATATCTGTCCATGTAAATACTAAATAAATACATAAAAACAAAAAGGAAACTGAGGCTCACAAAAGGAAATGACCAAAATGAAATCACAGATCAAACTAAAACCTCTAATGTGAATATTTATACTCACATATTTACAGAGACACATCCAACAAAAGGAAATGTTGTTCTCATAAACACTGACAGGAAACCAGAACTAAACCAGGACTAAACCAGGACTAAACCAGGATTGAACCAGGATTGAACCAGGACTAAACCAGGACTAAACCAGGACTAAACCAGGACTAAACCAGAACTAAACCAGAACTAAACCAGGACTAAACCAGGATTGAACCAGGACTAAACCAGGATTGACTAAACCAGGACTAAACCAGAACTAAAACAGGACTGAACCAGGACTAAACTAGGACTAAAACAGACTATTTTTTTCCTTTGGTTTTCCCCATTCAATAGCCCCATGTCCTGTCAGTCATTATTTTATCTTTGCACCGTTTCTCCTCACGACCTTTTGTTTATAGCCGAGATATTTTTATAACTTGTTTGTATTTTGTATTTTTACTTGTACATTTACATTTATATAATTACGTCTTATTTGACACCTGTGTCTTGTTATTTCTTCTACTTATTTAGAATGTATTATTACCATTTTCTCTTTGTTATTATAATATCTTGAGATGTTTGAGCTGCTGTGTCTGAGTCATTTTCTCTTGTGGATCAGTAAAGTTTGTCTAAAAACACATGAGGCTCGTCCTGATGATGCTTCAAAAATCACACATGATCAATGAAAACTTAAAGAAACGAAACAGAAACATGCTCCAAATATTATTCACCTACAGAATCCTGTGATGTCTGAAACACAACTACAATCTCTTTGTACTCGCCTACATCATCTCCATCCTCTTCCTCTCCAGGTCCTTCATCCTCTTCCTCTCCAGGTCCTTCATCTTCTTCCTCTCCAGGTCCTTCATCTTCTTCCTCTCCAGGTCCTTCATCCTCTTCCTCTCCAGGTCCTTCATCCTCTTTCCTCTCCTCTAGTTGGTTCAGGAGCTGAAGTTCAGTCTTGTGATGTGATTTAGATATTTTTCTGTAATGAAAATGTATTTTTTAAATATGTGATTTAACTTTGAGATCATTGGTTTAGTGTTTGTAAAAGTCTTCAGTCACAGAGATAAAAGGTGAATACTGAATGTATTCTTCATGTCCCATTTCTATAAAAGGTTTATCTTAAAATATAAAGATTATGTTCAACTCAAATACCTTCTGTGCCTGTTGTCTCGTCTTCTTTTCTGTAAAGAGAAGAAGTGTGAGTGAGTGTGAGTGTGATCCACAGACACAAGGATCTGTTCTGAACACATTTCACACAGACACTGCCTCTGAGCGACACACATTTCATAAAGCGTGAGATCACGTTTGGATTTGTGTCAGGAACATATAAGAAGAGCCCACAGAGACATAGCGCCACACAGTGGGCGCTACATGCAGTTTCTGTTTAAAAGTGAAGACTGAGACCAGGAGCAGGACTGAAATCTGAACTTTAAACTCATCCAAGAATCCCGTGTTTTTCAGAAGCTCTTTGAGTCGGAGCTACAGGGTTATGAGCTTTGGTAAAGCTTCATTCTGTCTTCAGCTTTAAACCGTGTGTGCACCTGCCTCACATGTTTCAGCTGCTTCCTGTGGCCTTCCTCAGGTCACAAAAACATGAACATGTAAGACTGGACTGTTTACGCTCTTCTCATCCATCAAAGCGCCTCCTGACAGACGAATGAAACTAGTCCATCCACACTCTCCCGCTGTACAAAAGTGTAACGTTTGTTTTGATGCTTTTGTTGGATGAGACTGAAGTGATTTTAAAATGTCTGAAAAATGACACAGAGGACTGAGCCACAGACAGAGCTTCAGATCATCAGGAGACAAAGAAACAGGAACACCTGTTAGGATTTGTTTTTTTGTTCTCTCCCCCTCCCCTTTTGTTGCGGGGGGCGTGGCTTCTTCCAGAGCAGATGAGACACACCTGTAATCAATTCCTTCATCAGCCTCTGTATTTAGCCCTGGTTTTCTCACCACCACTTTGCCAGATAATTCCGTCCTGTTCGGTAGAGTTCTATCAGGCTCTTGGATATGTATCTGTTTTGCTTGCTGCTTCGATGTTCGTCTTGGACTTACCTGTTCCTGTTTTTGCCCAGGTGTCTCCGTGGTTGTCTGCCGTTGCCTCTGGAGAAGTCGGCCAGCTCCCTGCCTCCTCAGCCTGCCTTCCGTTTGTAAAATAAACTGTTTAAAACTTGACTGAGTCCTGGCTCTGCTTGGGGTCCCTCTTGCCAAACCTTAACAACACCAGGTTCATAAGGCCTTAATAAGACAATAAGGTGTTCTAAAGTCTCACTCCATGAAACAGAGATATCTGAGGAGGCTTGTTCCTGCGTTTACAGCAGCTCACATGTTGCAGATAAATGACTGTGACTGGTCCTTCACAAACTTGAAGGTGATTTTCTGTGACGAGGCTCCAGATGCTTTTCAAAGAGAACGCCAGGGTTCAACTGCTCTGGTCCTGACAGAAGAACACAAACAAACTGGATCTGACACGAGATCTACTCACCCAGAGACGTCTCAATAAGATGATATCCATGACGTACATCAGGACTGACAGTAAAATAAGAGGTATATTAAACCACAGAAGTAAGTCTTCTCCTGCAGAAAGAGAAGAGTGTGTGAAATCCCTGTGTTCAGATGAAACCAGGAGTCACTGCTCACACTTACTCAGTTCAGGAGGATAATAAAGTTCTCCTGTTCAGTCTTGAGTTCACAGGAGAACAGGCCCAGCTGCTCTTAGGTCAGAACCTTCAGGATCAGACTGTTGGACTTTGTGACTCCATCTACAAACAGTCTCCAGGACTCAGTGTAGACCGACTCTGGTCCAGACCGGCTCAGAATGGTCTGATTCTGGTTGAACCTCCAAATGAGACTTTTCACTGGAGCAGAGGGTTCAGTGCAGGGGATTGTCACATATTCTGAAAAAACTAAAACGACAAAACAAAAGGATCAAGTAAAAATATTAAAATAAGACAGAGCTCTTTATAACTGATCCTAAACACAAACCTGCGCCATAATAAATGTCACTGTTGTTCCTGTAGGTGGCGCTCCTCCAGCTGCCCCTGCTGTTGCTCACATTACAGCTGTATTGATGTGGAGGGCTGTGAGGCAGAGACACAGAGCTGTGCACAGACCACACTCCGCCCTCTGAGGGGGTCACCGTGGTAAGAGCTGCAGAGGAGGGAGGGCTCCAGGACACTGAGGGTTTGGGGTAGACTCCCTCAGATCTACACAGGAGCTCCTGCCCCTGCTGCTGCAGAGACACTGGAGCTGAAGCTACAGAGAGACGCTTCACTGTCAAACCACATTTACACTCTTACATGTTATTATCAAAATAATACTCATTATTTACCAGAAACAAACACATCTACATAAAACTCTGTGATGGGTTTGATGATGTTATGAACCAAACACTTGTATCTTCCTTCATCCTGAACTTTGACCCCTGAGAGCCGCAGTGATGCGTTTCCTGTGGACAGTTCCTCCTCAAACAGAGAGGTCCGACCACTTAAAAGCTTTATGGCAGAAGGAATAAAAGATTTGGCGTAATTGTTGGTCTTTTGCTGTGGGGTGACATATCGTCTCCCAGAGGACATTTGCACAAACTGTGAGTGCAGGACATGGTTAGGCTCAGTGTGGCCTTAGTCTTTTGGAGCACACGATGTCTCCACACAGAGGCCAGATCCTCCGTCTGAACACCACTGATTTTGCCGCACACTTTGACTGTCTGGTTCAGACTGTTTATTGTCCTTCACAGAAAACCCATAAAACCAACAAAAATGTTTTTTGTTCATCAGCACATTCTGTCCGTCCATAACCAGGCCCCTGCACACCTCACTGACCTCCTGCAGCCCCAGCGCCTCCTGCAGGCTCTGACCAGCTCCTCAAAACCTCCTCATGCCCACAGTCAAAGCAAAGCACCAGACCTTGGGGGACCGAGCCTTTGCCATTGTCGCCCCAACTCTCTGGAACATTTCTCCTCCACATCAGAAACTCACTAAAAACCTTCAAAAAAAAAAAAAACAGTTTAGAGATCACCTTTTCCTCACAGCCTGTAAGCCCCAAACATTACAGTTTCCTCACTACTTGAGTTTGTTTGTCCTGTCCTTTTTATTGTGAAGTGTCTGAGTTACTGTGAGAAGCACTATATAAACTTTACTATATACATACTAAATAATTAGTGCTGTCATGCGATTAAAAAAATTGAGAGATTAATTAATTATGATCTGTAATTAATTAATCTAATTAATCTCATTTTAATCTCACCTAAAAATAGCTGAGAAAAGCTTCAATTTGAGGTATTTTCATTTAAATTCATTATTACATTATTGTGGCAGATCAAAAAACCAATATAGATTTTAAAAAGTGACTTTATAAAGTCATTTATTGTTTAACAAATCTCTCCAAATTGTCTGTTGAGCCCAAGTCTCCATGAATAAGAAACTGTTTGCTGTAAAGTAGCAAAGACGAGGAAATCTGAACATAATAACTTTTGTCTAAAGACAATAAAAAGTCCAGTCTTTCCTTAACCATATTAAAAAATATTATTGATAGAGAAATGCTTTATATATGAGATCACTGGTTTTAGTCCTTGTTTTAGTCCTGGTTTAGACCTGCTTTAGTCCTACTTTAGTCCTAGTTTAGTCCTGGAATGGATTAATCCTGGTTTTAGTCCTGGTGTTAGTTCTGGTTTAGTGCTGGTTTAGTCCTGGTTTAGACCTGGACTGGATTAGTCCTGGTTTTAGTCTTGGTGTTAGTTCTGGTTTAGAGGCTCACAGGAGGAAGAAGGTGAGAAAACACGATCCACACGCGGCTCACGGGAGCACGTCGGTGTCCACGAAGTAACTACGGAAGGAAACGTGGTCCGCGCGTTCTCAGGTTAATGACGATGATGAAGGTGTGTTTGTGTTTGTGTGTGTTTGTGTGTGTGTGTGTGTGTTTGTGTGTGTGTGTGTTGTGTGTGTGTGTGTGTGTGTGTTTGTGTGTGTGTGTGTGTTTGTGTGTATTTGTGTGTGTTTGTGTGTGTGTGTGTGTTTGTTTGTGTTTGTGTGTATTTGTGTGTGTTTGTGTGTGTTTGTGTGTGTTTGTGTGTGTTTGTGTGTGTGTGTGTGTTTGTGTGTGTTGTGTGTATAGGACAGTAGTGCAGACATCATGAGTCTATGCAGGTTGTTTTCCACCAGTGACATTTAAGTTGTAGGCGATTTTATATTTGTTATTTTCTTTTATATTTCACACGTCGGGAGAATAATTTCCAAGACACGAATGTGTTTTTACCTGTGCACTGCTGCCTCTGTTCTACTGGCTCTTCCACCTCGTCCATTGTGCCTGACGCCGCCAACGTTAACATGACGTTTACATCGCTGTTACTGCACGCGTTTTGTGTGGGTTTCCGGCAATGAGTGGAATTACCGAAATAAAAAAATGTATAAATGTGTTTTGTGTGTGTGTTTGTGTTGTTGTCCCAACAACACATAAAAACAGGTTTTATAATAAAGCAACTCACATACAGAAACACTAAAGTTAGAGATTAAAAATGAGATTAACGCGATTAAAAAACATAACGCGCTAAATATGACTGTAATTAATTAATCGCAATTAACGCGATAATTTGACACCCCTATAAATAATATGATTTATTTTGTAGGTATCAGACGGGGCCGTGTATGAACTTCTCAGATTCAGTCCAAACCTGTCAGGTGTTTTCCTGGTGCCTCTGGAGAAAGAAACAGATTTACCAAAGTGAGACACAAGTTTACTGATCCATTTATTTACATTTTAGACTTTAACTTGTACAGTTTTGTCCTCTAGTCCTGCTCTTTTAGCTGCAGCTGAAAACTTCACCGTGACGTATCCACATTTCAAGTTTCCCTGGTGAGTAAACTTGATAGAGGAGCTGCTTTATGTGTCTGTAGTCAGTGTTGGGAAGGTGATTTTTAAAATGTAATCCCCTACAGATTACAGATTACACACACCAAAATGTAGTTTGTAACGTAATCCATTAAGTTACTTAAGGTGAGTAATGTAATCTGAATACTTTGGATTACTTGATTTGCTGTAGAGAAACAAAGACGAGGAAATTGTAACATAAGATGTTTTGTCTGATAAAAGAAAATAAAAAAGTCCAGACTTTACTGAACCAAATTAAAAATATTATTGATAGAAGACGAGAAGGATTTAGTCCTGTTAAATCCTGTTTTAGTCCTGGGTTAGTCCTGGTTTCAGACCTGGTTTTAGTCCTGGTTTAGACCTGGTTTTAGTCCTGGTTTAGTCCTGGTTTTAGTACAGGTTTAGTCCTGGTTTAGTGCTGGTTTAGTCCTGGTTTAGTCCTGGTTTTAGTACAGGTTTAGACCTTGTTTAGACCTGGTTTTAGTCCTGGTTTAGACCTGTTTCAGACCTGTTTCTCTGACTCGGTTTAGACCTGGTTTAGATCTAGTTTAGACCTGGTTTAGTTTCCAGCAATGAGTGAAATTACCGAAAAAAAGGAAAAAAAAAAAAACAGGAAAATCCCTCTGTGTAATCCATTTATTTCAACAAAGTAACTGTAATCCAATTACCACTCACTGAAACAGTAACTGTAACTGAATACAGTTACTCATAATTTGTACTCTGATTACGTAACTCTGGCACATGTAATCTGTTACTCCTCAACACTGGAGTTATAACATTATTTATTTTTTTAGGAGAAACTTTCATGTAAACTCGTTCTATTTGAAGAGCTGTGAATTTCAACATTAAAAAAAACTAAACCAGAACTGCCTCATTTTTCTCCTCAAACACTTCGAGACACTTTCAGGAAACGGCAGTAAAGCTACAAAATCCATCAAGTCACATTTGGGCTGGACGGTCCTGTTGATAGTTGTGGTGAAGAAGGAGCTGAGCCAAAAGGCGAAGCTCTTGATTTACTGGTCAGTCTTCGTTCCTACTCTCACCTCTGGTCATGAGCTCTGGGTCATGACCGAAAGAACAAGATCGCGGATACAAGCGCTCGAAATGAGTTTCCTCCGCAGGGTGTCTGGCGCTCCCTTAGAGACAGGGTGAGGAGCTCAGTCACACGGGAGGAGCTCAGAGTAGAGCCGCTGCTCCTCCATGTGGAGAGGAGCGTCTGAGGGGAGGACGTCTGTTCTGATGTCTCCTGGACGTCTCCCTCAGGAGGTGTTCATGTCCCACCGGGAGGAGGCCCCGGGGAAGACCCAGGACACACTGGAGGGACTATGCCTCTGGACTGGCCTGGGAACATCTCAGGGTCCCCCCGAGGAGCTGGAGGAAGTGTCTGGGGTGAAGGAAGTCTGGGAGTCTCTGCTTAGACTGATGTCCCCCCAACCCGACCCCAGCTAAGCGGAAGAAAATGGATGGATGGATGGTTCTGTTGATAAATACATCACTTTTCTATCATGTTTTTTTCACTCATCATGTGCACAGGCTCGTTCACACTGTACGAGACGCAGACAGCGATGGAGCTGAAGTGTCTTGCCCAAGGAAACAAAATATAGGGTTCAAACTACCAACCTGGGTCATTGTCTCTGCCACCTGAGCAATTTGTGCCTTTGAATGAGAAAAGAGTCAAATGTCCCTGATAAAGACTCACTGTAACTTCAGCCACAGAAACTCTGAGGAGAAAAACATTCAGTAGAAACATTTGTTACGTTTGGGCACTTTTGGTTTTTTCCCTGCTTTCTTTTTATTGTTTATATTTTTTGTAGCATTTCTGCTTAGTTTTGTTTTTGTAGGTTAATTATGTTTTTGTAGTTTTTTGTGCTCATTTCCGGCAGGAGGCCTTAAATGCGCGAGTCCGGCGCCGTCTCTCTCTCTCTCTCTCTCTCTCTCCTCCTCCTCGTCCGCCGCCGCAGGTACCGGAGCGCACACGCCTCGCGCTGGGAGACGCCCTCCTGGCTCTCCTGCTCCATCGTTTTTTTCCTGTTTTCGCTTTTCTGTTGGGTTTAGGTTGTTGGGTTTTTTTGTCTTTAGTTACGGGCGCTGGCACCGGCTCCTACGGCCCTGTACAGGGTTGGCCCGGTGTCGCACCCTTTTGTTCCTTTTTGGCCGGCTCACCAGGTCCACCTTTCCGTTGCTACTTTTGGTTTGGGCACGGGTAGGGTTTCTTTTTTTGGGGTTAAACAACTTTGCACAAACAAAAATAAAAGAACTCTAAAATTCTATTTTTGGTTCCCGTGTCCTTTCCTAAGTATGTTGGGACTCAAATCTTTTGGGTGGTAACACAGAGGTAAACATTTTCTCCCACCTGAAGGTTGGTGGTTCTATTACATCTATTGAGCATCATATACTGTCATTGTAAACTGTGCTGTTGGGCAAGACACATCACCTTCTTTTGGGTTATTGAAGTCTTACTGAAGTCTCTGGCTCTGGGCCGATTGAGCATGCGCAGTAGAGTCTTTTCACCGTGGACGCACACAACGTACGCCAACACATGCACGGAGCGCGGTCTGTGTGTCACGTGATCGCTTTGACCAATCAGAGCGAGAGGAGCAGAGCAAACGATTATAGGCGAGTTTCATTGTTGACAAAAGCGCGTTGCATGCTGGGAATTATTTTGGTGGGTGGCAAAAAACACAAATTCAACACGACGGACGGAGTGAGA